ACATAATTTTGAATTTTCCAATAGAGGATATCACAATTACACTTGACTACTTGAGTAAGACATTAATGTAGCAACCATGGTTGATCTAGAGGGTGGTTAATAGGTTCATAATTAGTAATATATGTGGTGTTGAGGCTTTTTAGTTGGATGTCTTAGTGATTTTAGATTTCCCTCACATTTCCTTGAGGTGAAATGCATGTTTTTCTTGAAAGTGCTGGTGATGAACCAACAATGGTTGGTCTATATTGAAAACAAAATTTAAATGATACACAATCGCACTTTCTAACTTAAGATTCTTTTTTTCTTTTCTTTTCTTTTCTTTTCTTTTCTTTTTTTGTGATACACAACACTCTTCCTAAGATAGTATGTACATGCCCGACACTCCATGATCACTCAAGGACAATTATCAACAAGCCATGTGCTCTTGCCACAATTTTTATATATATTCAAACTACCAACACTAGTGGAATACTTTAAAGATACCCCTAGTGCAAGTGTTAAACATGCAATGTACCAATTCCTATATAACAAATTATAAAACTAAAGACATAATGTGAATTTAAAATTAAAAATTTTAAATCGACGTGTCTATATCCTACTTTTTCGGAAAATCACGTGTCACGATGCCTGTGTAACGTCGTGTCCGTGTCTTGTGTTAGTGTCCATCAACTTAGACATTTAGATGAGAGAGTTAAGATTTTCAAAATTTGTCGGAGATGGATGATACTAATTTTTGTGGTTGCATCATGTGATTTCTCTTCAAGGCAATAAAGGTAATGTGCTTATAGGGACCCGATGGCTATGTTGGTTATTAAGGTGGACAATGGCGGTCACAATGGGATTGAGTGACAGGGTTGTCTTGGGTAGTGTATAGTTGGGAGGATTTGAGTCTTTCCTGGGGGCAAGACGGAATAAACTAATTTTCCACTTGATTTAAGAGTGAAAAATACGAATACTGACATCTACCTTAAAACCAATTGAAGTCAAATGCGAGTATTAAATTCTTAAGCACGGTTCAAAATTGGTTATAACTATTACCAATTATTAACTCATACAACATTTATTATTAGAAGGTCAACTTGTATACTAAAATGCTGCAATCACTGAGCTGTACAGCAGGCTTTAATGGTTTAAGCTACTAGCAAAAGGTTGGCTGGTCCAATCACAGCCTGAGGTGTCATATTCTACGACTACATATTAGGCACCTATTCTAGCTTCGTTCATTTAAGCATCGGTGAACTTATTTCTAATTACAAGAATAAATTTTGAAGATCTATCTTTAACACTTCTATAGGTAAATATTATGGAAAACAGGGTAAAATAGAAATAAATTTAAAATGGAGCATTTGGACCAAGTTCACTCCCATTGTTCTATTGTTTTAGTAGGAAGGGGGAGAAACAAAGAGGAGGGAAATAATTCTGTAAAACACCTGATTTTTTAAACAAGATACTTCCTTGATTTTTCTCAAACATATCAAGCAGGGCAGACAAGTCCTCTATCTCTTGCTATCCAGTCCCTTCTATATTCTCTCTTACATAACAAGAGAGAAATGTTGCTTTCCTCCTTTCTCAGTTTGTACATGTTCTCATCTATTCAGGTCTTTGAACTAAATTTCCTTACTCCAAGCACAACCTTAAATAATTTTTAGCACAGGCAGTGCAGATAATTATCGCAAACACAAGCAGACATAAAATCATGAGTCAATAACTCACTCAACTATCTAGTTTCTGAACAATTAATACAGTGTTAAACCAAGATGGTCAGAGATAATTAAACAAAAAGCAAAAAGAAAAGACAAATGAACGACGCATACTTAACTATGAATGACCCCCATGCTAAATTCATATATAAGGACTCATTTTCCGGCATGCAAAGCAGGATTTGTGTGCATGTAAAATTCAATGACAAAATAATTCATATTTAATGGAGTTACTTAAACATAGTTTAACTAAAAACAAAACAAGAAAATCCGTGATTTCAAAACTTCTGTGTGTTTTCAGCTTGAATATAAAGAAAAACCATCCCATTTTTCTATGAGATACCAAAAAAAGATAAAAACTAAAAAGATCAATGCATCAGTTTCCAGATTGCACTAGAAACGTCAATCGCCTTGTCCAGAGATTGAGCCTCTTTCCAGAAAATTGAGTAGGGAGAAGACCTCATCCAAACTCTCTAACCCGAAGTGTTTATGCAAAACCGGCATGGAGAAGAGCAGGCTACACTAGATTTATGTCCCCATGCAATTAAATATTCCTGGCTTCTTTCACTTGCCAGTTCACCTGTTAACTCATGATGCCCAGGTGGTCAACGAAATTAGATACTTTTTGCAAGGTGCTAAATCAAGAAGTAAACAAAATATGGGGAAGATTGCAGACATGTTTATGACCCAATTAAAGATGACAGCAGTCAAGTGTCAAGCACGAAACAGTAAAAGGTTATTTGGCCAGGCTCAACTGAATAATGATTTGAGTATTAGTTGGGCTCATGTTGATCACACACCTCTCGATGCATATCTATACTTTGTAAGTCATAAACTAGGCAACTACAATTAAGAATTAGCAATTGCTCCATCTATCAAGATGTTGTTCGTAGCTTCAGGCACGCTTAAAACTGAAGTGTGTGCATGGAAATAAATGCTTGCACTCATTTCAGTAATTAAAAAAGAAAAAATGTTAGAAAGATACTATAACTTTAATGAAATGAGAAAAGGTTCATGAAAATCACTGGATTAAGAAAGAAATCACAGACAAACCTGTTCAAACAAGCATGCCAGATGAAACGCAGACGGACAGCTATCACAGCATATCAGTTGACCAACATCACCACAGCGCCCGCAACAATCATCATTTGGATCTGTCTCGTCAACTTGACCAGTTCGAGCTTTTCTAGCCTTATATTCAGCTGACCAGGCCTCAAGCTGGCATGAGGTTAATGGCTTATCAGACTCCAAGAAAAGACCGATGCAATTTTGCTTCAGCCCAAAACCAGCATGACTCTTAAACCCAGAGATGGAAAGCACCGTATTACAACAGTTGCACAATATCCCATTCCTGGTAATCAAACCATCTTTCACAACGTCATTTTTTAGATTTCGTGACTGGATCACTTCATTTAGCGAAACAACACCCAGATGAATTAACCAGGATAAAACAGTTCTCAATTCAGAAGCAGACCACTTCTTTTCCATCAAATTCTTTGCACTGCTGCATCTGCCTTTTCGTTTCTTGTGCTTCCTCGGAGGCTTGGATTTGCAGGTGGACTGTTTCCCGGAAGATCTAATGGTTTTGGCTTTTTTAATATGCGAAATCAAGAGATCATCGTCATTAAGATGGCAACTCTTTGATTTCTTTGATTCAACTCTTTCAGGGACAGATATATTTAAGATATCCTCTAAATCAGGTTTCCCAGTTGAAAGATTTTCAACAACCAACTTTGCTTCATGATTACTTTTGTTTGACGATGTTAAGTCTTCTGAGATACAGTCCAGTGTAGGTTTCCCCTTAGAATCCTCTTTCGCATCAAAGCAATCATTGTAAGTCGCTAATGATGAGTTTCCACTACTGGAGCAAAGGGAGGTGTCTGTTTATATCAAAGAAATCATCCCGTATTCTTTCAGTAGATATTAGAACATAATAGATGAAATGCTGACTCGCTGAAGAAAATAAATTCACACTTAAAATGCCATCAAACAGAATCTACAAGTGTTACATAATCTAGAATCCTTTTCCACGATTGGAAACACATAAACTTTCTACTGTTTTCTACTTTGTGCATGTTTGGCAAAGTTTATAACTGCATATAAGACAGTAAAAATCTATCTTTATCCACGCATTTGGTAGGACATACAACTCATAATCTAACATTTTTTTATGCCAAACACTCTAATCACTATTAATTGGGCTGCAGATTTTTTACCCTGACTATCACATTCAAAGGGAACATATGCGGAAACAGTCAAAAGTTCAGATTTTAAAAATGCAATAATTTTGTCATTCATCGCTTGCAAGTTGAAAATCTTGAAACACTAGAATCTACTTTATATCACCAGTGTACTTTGCATTTATACTCACTATCTACTTTATATCACCAGTGTACTTTGCATTTATACTCACTATGTAGCAGATAAACATGATCTTAGGAGTGTAAATCGAAAATTTACAAATGTAAATGTGCCTGAACAAAGGTAAAAACTACAGGCAAAGATCAAAACATTAAGTCTTCAATCTGAGAAATTAAACCAAAAGTAAAAGAAATCAAACTCATAAAAATTGATCTACACAAAACTCGATTCCTCAAAATACAGAATTAAAAAATTGCTAAAAATCCCATCTCAAATTCTCTCATTTCCACATCAAAACCCACAAACGAACCAAAAACAAAATCAGATCTTTACATCAAAATTCTCAGGTCCCACTGCCAATTCAAAAAATCCACAAGTAAAATAGAAACAGAATGACAAAAATTGATAACAAAAACAGAAAAATTCACCTTGCATTTTCATTGTAACTTCAATAAAATTAGGGTTCATCCAATTACGAAATTAGGAGCGTCTCGGATTGTAACGCTTAGAGATAGAGATAATCTGTGGACAGCTCAAAAGGATGAAACAGTGGTTTTATAGCACACATATTCAGACCTGGAAACTCACCAGTAATAGGCTTTTGCGATGACCGAATAGGGATTGAAACAAGGAACAGGTGGCAAGCATGAAGCAAAACAAGGAACACGCGGCAAGCAATGGTGGTTAAGGTTTCTTGGATTACTGGCATCATTTTTAAATTTGATAAACTCCAAAGTGAAAATAATAATTCCTGTATTGAATAAATTAAATGTGTACTAAGAATGACAGTAGAGATTATGGTTTATCTTTTCCATCATTTAATGCAGAAATTAAATTATTACCATAAACGCTGTGAAAATATCTAAGCAATACAGAAACCAATTATGGATATACCATTAACACAGGAAAATAAACTTCTTCCAATTGCCAATCAAATAAAACAAACAAATACAAAAACCCCAAATATTTCCATAATCAATACACATATTTTTAATTTTCTAAGTATCAGTGGTATACAGTCAAAGAAAAGTGTATAAGTAAAGACTTTAGGGACTACCATTGAAGGCCACTGTGATCAGAGGGAAAGCAAGTCTTCTGCAAGGCCGGTCGTCCACCAGCGGGTCTGTACCCGGTTTGTATGCCTACAAAGCCCATAAAGTTTGTACCGTTTTTGCCCCCCATCAGAAAACACCTCTCCACTACCACCAACACCACCATTATTGCTAGAATACCTATCCCAAGTCTCAGACACTGATAAGGGTTTATTGTATTTACATTTATAATCCAAATTTTGCCACGAAGTCACGATAAAGCCTAAGATAAATCTCGAAAGCCCATTGAGGAGATAGAAAATCAAGAACATTGATCTGCGTCTGTATGAAGATGAACAAGCACAAAATAATTTGGGTGGCATTTTCCAGCTGACTGATAACGGATTTTTTGGTAATTTAAAGAAGTATAAAGGGGTTAGATCCCAAACCTGCAGGATTGAAATTTTTAAGTGATGTTTCTGAAAATGAAGCTTCTTTTTCTGAATCTTTTGGGCAAAAATTTACATCACTGAGGAGAACAATTCGAATATAGATATATACAATTAATACTCTTTCGGTCGAAGATGTCGTACAAAATTTGTCCAGTGCGATTTTGGTTTGCAGGCTATTGCGTTAAGTTGAGTGTTTAGTCCTAATGACGGCCACGATTCCCCGTCATTAAAAAAAAAATACTGTTTCATTTACATATACAGAACAATCGCAGTTTCGGAGAGAGATGACGAGTGAGATTGGAGAGAACAAATTCAAGCTTAAATTTCTTATTAAAGCCATAACTAACTTTAAAACGTAGCAATACAACAAACAATTGAAATTTAAAACCAGCAAGATTTGTATTGGATCTATTGCTAAATATATCGGTAAATGCCTAAGTATGTTCTCATTCTAAACCATGCACTCTTCGTACGGCCTCATTTGATTTTCATTCTTTGACACCCCAATTGGTAGAAAAAATTCACAATCCCTCCAGGTTATCCTGCACTTGGAAGCCACAAAAATAAAAAATATGATTGTTGTTAGTTATAACAAGTCATCATATTTGATTTTTTGACTCGTACGTGGATCTCATAACGACTATAATTTTTATTCACATTCTCATGATAATAGGAATCAGACGGGAGTAAAAGATTTTTTTATTTTTAACTACTCATTCTTCAAAAAGTCACTATACTAAGGGCTTATTTGAGAGCGATTTTTTCCCAAAAAATTGATTTTTTGACCGTTATTTCACTATTTCAACCGTCACATTTGACATCTTCTCTCACAGGTGGACCCCATTTTTTCCTAATGATCAAAAAATCAATTCTCAAAATCACTCCCAAACATGCTCTAAAAATACTTTTTTCTCCATAAAATGGGTCTCAAATAAGAGAATTTACATTAATGAAAAAGATTAATATTTAAATAATAAAATATTTATATTTTTCTGAGTGATGCAGTAAAAATCCATGAGAAATTAAGAGGGCAAAAACTCTTAACGACTCAGGCATGAGATTGGAGTCGTCACAAAAAAATGCACATTTTTTGTGACAATTCGAGCCTCATGCCCAAATTATTATGTCGTACGTACTATTCATTTTGAAAGAGTCTAATTTCATTTGACATTCATGAATTTCTGTGAAGTCCCAAGTATTCATGGACAAAACTATTATATCATGTGCACTATCGATTTTGAAAGAGTCCGATTACATTTTAGACTCATAACTTTCTGTGAAGTTCCCAATATTCGAACCTAAGAGATTTGCAAAGTCTAAGTCCATCTTACCTTCATTCACGACTTTCTGTGAAGTCACCAGTATTCGAACCTAGGACATCTTCTAAGAGACTTAAGTCACACATAATAAGGTAGGAAGAGTCTGAGCTCATTTTATTCCTCACGGCTCTTTGGCATCCCCTAAGATTCGAACCCAAACATTTATCTTACGAAAGACTTAAGTTAAATCCTGATACCACTTAAATTAGGTTGTTACACACTACCTCATCGACTTATCATTCTATTGATAAATAAGCCTAACAAAATAGCAGCTTGGGCTAAAATTTATGCGAAAGCGAAATTGGTTTCTACATTTTTTATTTTATATTAGAGCAAAGCCAACCAATGTGCTATTGCAACCGAGAGTTATATAACACATCTATACCTAGTTGCTAAGTTACTTGAAACTGCATTCGGGGACCTAAGCTCTCAAATGATATAAAAAATGGCGTTCACGTGTCACATTGTCCAATGAAAGTTGGATTTTTTTATTCATTGAATGATGTAACAGTGGCTTCACACACATGATCAGTGTTGATAAATAGTATTGCTCGTAAAGATTAATGACAAACAAGAGAGCCGAACGAGAATGAATACCACACGGAAGAGTTGAGACCAGGCTCCCTAATGGAATGTTTAACCAATAAGAGGCGTGGATGGAGGTATCAACTACATGTAGGTTCTTTGTTTTGGGATGCGTCAAAGTTGACAAAACAAGTGAAACGAAGAAACATTGCTTCGCAATTAGATGAAGAAAAAATTAATTTTAAACTACCACTCAAGATCATTTTATCAGAATTAAGGTTGAAAATTGATTTCACGTTCTAGCCTAATACACTGCTTTCTGCATTTAAAACAATTGCCTCTCTGTATAGGTGTACACTGTGATGCTCGGACTCTTTTTTGGGTCGGCATGCCTGTGTCGACATGACACAACACGGGATACGATTATGAAATACAGGGTGGACATGGAAAATTTCAACTGGACACGCCCAAGGGTGGAAACTCTTGGAGTTCGCTGTCTCCATTGTTGCAA